GTCACTATCTGATAAGCAAATGCTTATCAGGTAGTCAGCACTTCACACACACACACACACACACACACACACACACACACACACACACACACACACACACACACACCCCTTGCCCAGGAGCCTGCGCTGGATCTCAGCTCTCCTGCCCCCAACACTTCACAGCTGTCTCCTGTATCTTCTGTGGGCTCTGCCAAGTGCACATACTGCTTTACAAAACCCTAAGGTAGCCAGAAGGGTATGGCTGCAGGGCCTGGTTCTTCTTTAAGTTATTAGGGGGTCAAGCCTTCTTGAAGCTAAGGGCAGAATTGGGCCCCAAACTTCCACAAGGCAGAGAAAGTTTGGTTTCACTGATATGAATAGTCACAGAACAAACCTCCACAAACAACGTTTCAAACAGCAAGTTTTGCAGCCCCCCAAAGTCCTGTGCAAACCCTCCCTACATGGGAACTCCATTTTCTGAGCCTGGTGTCCGTAAGAAGTTGCCTTCTTGAAGCTAAGGGCAGAATTGGGCCCCAAACTTCCACAAGGCAGAGAAAGTTTGGTTTCACTGATATGAATAGTCACAGAACAAACCTCCACAAACAACGTTTCAAACAGCAAGTTTTGCAGCCCCCCAAAGTCCTGTGCAAACCCTCCCTACATGGGAACTCCATTTTCTGAGCCTGGTGTCCGTAAGAAGTTGGGGGGAGGGAGACAATTTGACCCTTTGATCCCAAGCCCACTGAAGCCAGCGGAAGGGCTCCCATTGCATTCAACAATGGGTCTTGGAGGACGCTGGTGGGATGCGCTAAGAAGCAGAACCCTCTACATTTGAACACAATTCAAGCTTGGTGAGCCTGTTGCTTTCCATGACCGAGAGGGCGAACCGTCGAAAAACATTCCCACTTGCAGAGAACTTGAGAAGAGCGAATGGGAGGTGTACTGCCAAGTCTGTGATGTAAAGAGAGTGTGGTATTTCTGTAAGTGCATGCTCTGACATTTCAGATTAGGTCTGGACCTTTCATCATTTCAGCACATCCTATTGTTATGAAAAAAACTAAAATGTCATTAACCACAGTGATGTGATAGAGGAAGTCTAAAAGCTTTGCTGTTTAAATGTAGGTTCCCAGGGTCGGACTCTGCATCCCTACAAGTCCCAGTAAATTCAGGAGCGTATGGAGGTAACTGAAGGCAGAACTTGCCCCTCACGTTTCAAGGCACAACTATATCCAAGCAAACTACATATACTAATGAATTTGTCCTCATAACACTGTGTGTGGAGAAGCAGTGCTATCATTCTCACCTTAGAGATGGGGAGCAGAGGTACAGAGAGGATAAGTGACTTGCTAAAGGTCATGCAGGAAGACTGTGGCAGGGCTTTGCAAGTTTTTCAGAGGAGTGGTAAACAAAGACATACAGCAAAATACATTAGGTAATAGTCATGGGCAAAAATTCTGCCCTCAGCTATGCCAGTAGCAACTGCTGCAAGCCACTTACAGTCAGGCAGATTAAATTAACATAGAATTTACCTCCCACCTGACAATAGCCCCTAGCTGGTCACAGGTTTCCCTGAACATCCATTTTCCATCTGCAGTCACATTTTGCACAGGTGAGACAGTATTTCCAAAGATTACATCTAGAAGGGCCTAGGTCAGAAAGTTTCAGAACTGGAGCTCAACTTTCCCAAACTTCTGCATTGTTTGGAAGAGAACTTTTGACTCCACCCTCACTGTAGTGTGAAGGTACAATATATATTATCATAGCCTTATCCAGCTGCCCAGCCAGCAACAATAAGATCCAGTGTCTTAGGGTTAGTGTATGGGCTACTGGATATTTTAAACAAGTCTAATTCCAGTTCTGAGAGGCCCTGACAATGAGCAGATATTCTCTTTCAGCACATGGTGATAGAGGCTTGTGCTTACAGAGCAACAGAATCAGAGCCCTATCATTACTGTCGCTGCAAAATTCTGAGTGGCCAAGGTACACAGTAGAGGTATAGCCATGCAAACCCAGGTAGCATTTGCTTGTGAATTATATTTGCTCTGGCTTCCTCCACATGCTCTTGCTAACCAGAGGCCCCTTTCTAAGCAGCCAATGGAGAAGACAGCTGATACAACTGCATTATTATATATAAAGCCAAAATCCACACTTGGTTTTGTGTGGTGGGCTAAAGAACATTGGCAATATTCATTATTACATTGCTCTTCATCTTCGCAGTGGTAGCACAGTATGTGCAATGTCTTATCCCCACCCTGCCCCCATTCATTATTAGCTTAAATCTTTAACACATTCCATTTCAAGTCAAACAAAAAATATTTAATTCTACCAAATCGAAGTGTGTCCTTTTCATTGTCTTGAATTTTTGGAACATAACAAAACAGTCAAGGACATTTTGAAACTAAAAAGTAGTTTCCATCTGGAAATGAAAACTTTTTTTTTTAATTTGTGTTTCTCCATCGTTCCAAAAAAAACCCAAACAATTTAGTAAAACTGACAAATTCATGAAATCAGGGTTACTGATTTTGCATTTCTCTCTCTCTCACACAGAGAGAGAGAGAGAGAGAGAGAGAGAGAGAGAGAGAGAGATTGGCCAAAAGCTTTCACTCAGATTTACTCAGGGTTACAACTGAGGACAGACTATATCTAGGACAGCCAGTAAAAGAACACTTACATCTAGCTCTAGCCATGAAAGAAAAAGGAGTTTGTGGTGGAGGTACCAAACTGGATTTCACGACCCCTGCTATCGAACACTGGCTCTTCCACAAACCTATGTGACCTAGAGCAAGGTTCTTCATCTCTGTTTCAGTTACACTTTTTTAGAAATTAAGCTGCTGTTACTTGCTTTCTCCCATCCTTTGTCTGTTTTGTCCATTTGGAATGAAAAACCTACGGGGCAGGGACTGTTTTTAAGTGAGTGTTTATGTACAGCATTGAATCCAGTAGGGCTCTGATCTTGGCATCATTGATAATAGGAGCTGCAATATGCAAGGAAGATAAGTAAAGCTGCCTTGGAAAATTCCCTGACATTTGGTTTGAGAACCCAGCAATAGTCACAAGCTAGAAAATGAAGCTCACCACGTCTTAATTTGATCTAGGTCACTTCCACAGATCCCCGGAAATCAGGCAGAATTTACCCTCTAAACAACAACTATGGTCCAAACATAGGAACTGGAGGGGCATAGTGAAGTCATCTCCTAGGGGACCGCTAATAGGAACTGGGGGGGCATAGTGAAGTCATCTCCTAGGGGAGAGAGCTATGTATCTGTGTTCTCTTCACTCCTAGACATTCACCACAAAAGGACTCCTGTTCAGTTGTCATAAAAGCAATTGTGAAATTGTCAGTGGGTCTTGGGTTCTTCTTTGCCATGCCAGCTTATTAATCCAGGAGGTTCTCAGACACAATTACAGAACATTAAGGTAGCTAAAGGCAGTGGGCCTATTTGTTCATAGCCATCGTCATGGGCAGTGGGGGAACCTACAGCCGGGGGAGGCAGCCCCCCAGCCTTACCCCTGCCACCTGAGGCCCCGAGGGAGCCAAATGCCCCCCTCCACTGTAGGGGCAGACATCCATTCCCCCAGAGGGTGGTGCATGGTCTCCCCGGCTCTGTAGCCTGAGAACATGAGGGAAGGGAGGGCAGGTGGCCTACCTTTCCAGCCTTCTCTGGCCCCAGAAGGGCACAGGGTGAGGGAAGAGTGGACAGTGCACAGCCCCAGCCTTCACGGGCCTTGACTGGAGCACTGAGAAGACAGGTGGGCCGGCCCCGGCCCCCAAACAGCTAGCGCCTTGGCTCCAGCCTCGGCAGGGCTCAATCCCAGACAGCAGTGAAGGAGGGCAGGGGCTGAGGGCAGAGTGTGGGCAGGGCTGGCCCGGCCCTTTAGGAAAGCATTGCCTTCCCTGCCTTTTATACCCACCGCCCATACTAGTGCAGAGTGAGGGTGAAGACCAATCAGCAGCCAGACTGGGAAGACTGCGGAGGGAACTGCATTTTACATAGCTGTACGTGGCTCCACAAGGTGAAGGGCACCAGAGAATCACACTCGCCCTAGGGGAGTTGCAACTCAGTAAAATTCTTTGGAGCCAGGCCTTTTTGTGCGGTGTTTGTACAGCATCTAGCACAACAAGCTCCTGATCCGTGACCAGGACCCCAGGAAGAGTCACCTGGTCCTTTAAAGACCTGAACACCCAAAGGTTCACCCCACCACCTAGGTAGCAAGGTGCCACCTAGAGAGGCATCATGCTTCAATCAATGGGGTCCAACAGACTGGCGAGGCCGCTGGGCAAGGTTGGGGATGCCGGCTCCATGCTCCCGGAAGGGGTGGGTTGGAAAGGGCGGGGCTGGGGCAGCCAATATTCAGCCCCACCTGGACCCCTCCATGCCAGCCCTTAGAGCCATCCAGAGTGCACCACATGGAGATCTAGCAGCAATGTAAAGGACCCAGCTTCAGCCATCACTGTTGCCATGGTAGTGGTGGTAGCAGCCCTGAGCCCTTTTGAATTGCCAGGCCCCTCCCTGGTCAGCAGGCCTGGCTACAATAGTCACTCCCCAACACAGTATAAATCGATGTTCCCTGGCCAGCTACCCAGTCAGAAACAACTCGTTTCCTACCAAATTGACGAGGCAAATCGAGAAGCAGTGGAATTTCCACACCCGCCCTTGCCTGACTCATTGTTTCGGCAGTATTTGTTTTCATGACTTAGTACCCCGATGCGTTAGCATACACACCATTTACTGTTCAAAACCCAGTGGCAACCTCTCTGGGGCCCTCAGCCCTAGAGTGGCTGATCTCAATCCATGTTCATACAAACAGCACCATGCCCATCCTACATGATGGTTTCACATTTGTGACTGGAGTTAAGACACGGAAGGTGGGATTTTCAAAAGAAAATAAGAAATTGGACACTGGAATCCCTTCGACTGCTTTGAACAATCCCAGACTTTGGTAAGTCCTGGGTCTGGGGAGAAAATAATTTGCCAATTCATGGGCGACAAGTTAGGACCTTAAATATATACCCCTCCTACCTGCCTCCATCAGTTGACATTGCTGCCCAAAGACCTGTGAGAAGGTAACAGGGCCTGCAGCAGAGTTGGAGGTCGTTGGTGAAGTATCCATGGCTCTCTCAGGATCTTTTGTATTAGTCATGTGGCACAATCCAGAATCTTTGAAGAAGTTTCCCCCACGGTCACAGTACGAGAACCTGGATGGATCAGTGAAGATGAGCAGCACCTGGTTCGATACCTTGTTCTCCCCCCGGTTTCTAAAAAAAGCAACGCTGCCTCCTGTTTTCACTGGGGTGTCATTTGTATTCAGAATGGTCTTTCCTCAGGAGCTGCTGTACATGTTTTAACCAGTTCCGAGGGCCTCAGACAAAGCTGGCAGTTAATGACAGATATCCACTAGCCCCCACCTCTTCTTGGGGTAACAGCAGAAGTTGTAAGAAATGTGCAAGTTTCTCCCCAAAGCAGTCGTTTCTCCTCCTCGTGCTCCTTCAGCGTCTAAATGTCTGATTAGCTTACCCGTGAGCGTTGGCACAGTTCCACGCGAGGACCACAACGGGAGTTGTCCCAGTGGTTTAGAAACTGCGCTTGCCGGAGAGGATAAGCCCAAATAGTTTCCGAACGCCGGATGGAAACGCAAAGATCCGTGAATCCACTCCTGGCTGCAAGAACCAGTCGTCAGAAAGCTCTGTGTCTGTCCAGCTTCTAAGTCTGGGCTTCACAGCAGGCGATCACAGCCTGAAATATTCTTTTCAGCGGATCAAGCTGGTGCCAGAACTGTGCCTCAGGGAACCTGCCACCTGCAGCAGTCTACTGAAAATAGTCTCCTTCCTCTCCAAGGGGTCTGACTGAATTTCTCTCTCTGCTTCCCTTCCTGCCTGAATCCAGCAGCAGTCTGCAGCCTTTGCTGTCACCGGCTGGCTTGGCTCTTGGCGGTAGTCCTCCTTGGTTAATTCCTTCACTCCAGATCTGCGTCTCTCGTTTTCCCAGCCACATAGGCAAGTGGGAGGAGATTGGAGCCATCGTTAAATAACATTTCCTTTGACCTGCTGCAGTGTCCCCCCCTCCGTGCTGCGATGTAAAGGCTGGTTCCTTGGAGTCATTCTGGAAGCACAGAGAAGTGCTAACTCAGCCAAGCAGGAGAAAGCTGGTTGCTTTAACCCTCTCATGCCCATCTGCCATTGTCAGGGCTCCAAGAAGCCCAGGAGAAAGGGGGGAAAGATGGTGAGGGCTGGTGTGTACACACGTAGCTGGAACACGGGCTGTTGTGTCCCAACCAGGGTGGTAGCAGCTGCTGTCTGGAACGCGGGCTGTTGTGTCCCAACCAGGGTGGTAGCAGCTGCTGTCTCATAATTATTTCAATGTAAAGCAGCCCAGAAGGCCATTTCCATGGAAAAGGGACTGAGCGTTAACTCCCAGCAGCATCTGTGACAGCGGATTCATCTTTATTTTAAAAATTCCATCTGGCGAGGCAAAGGCGGCTAACTTCAGAAAGCGCTGCACGATTTTATCCTCAGTGAGTCATAGGCGCCGTCTTCAGGAATGCTGCGGAGAACAACCACCAGCAAAGCAAGATGAAAACAAAACCCTGCGATGTAAACAGGGCTATGCCACCACAACACATATTATGATGGTGATAAAAGTCCTCGGGCCAGGGTGAGCAGTGCAGCTAAGTGCGCAAATGGGACCTGAAAGTTCATTTCTGGCTGGTTCCCACATGTTGTTTGAGAAGAGCACAAGGGATGTCTAAGGGTATGTCTAGACTGCACTCTAAAATCAAGATAAGATACGCAATTTGCATAGTGCAAATTGCGTATCTTATTTTGATAATATTTCGAAAGGCTATTTTGAAATTTGGTTCATCGACATGGTGCCAAATTTTGAAATAAAACACTACCTCGAGACATCCCCTATTCCTAGTAGAATGAGGTTTACAGGGATGCCAAAATAGTCTGTCTGTTATTTTGAAAATTATTTTGAAATAGCGAATGTGTTCCTTGGACTCAGGGTAGCTATTTTGATACCTCCAGTACCCCGAAATAGCCTTGCAGTCTAGACATACCCTAACTCACTACTAAACTTCATTGGCTCCCTATTATTGGGTCTGAGCACCTCCCAGCCTTTAAAACATTTCTCACAACACACCCATGAGAGAGAAAAGTATTTGTGCCCATTTTACAGATGGGCATTGAGAGACGGATAGTAAGTGACTTGCTTCCTAGCACACTGTAAATATGGGTCGGAGAGAAGGTACTGAACCTAGTTTTCCCCGCTCTCAACCCAGTGCCACCCTGAGGGTTGCCAGGTGTCCAGTTTGACAGGAAAGTCTGGTTGAAAAGGGAACCTGGCAGTACTGACCAGGCACCACAAGCCCAATTACTGCAGCCAGGAGGAAGCACCCAGACCTGACCCTGCTCAGCCAGGGGCTGTCTCCTATCCTCCTTGTCAGGCTGTAGCTACTCCCAGCCCAGCCCTCAAGCAAAGGGAGCCCAGCTGGGAGATAGTTGTGGGGACTAGGCCTTCTGGGATGCAGGTCTGCCAATTCTCAGAGCTCTACTCACAAGAAACACTGTGGGCAACAGAGAGGAGCGTGGGCCTATCGCTCCTGGGAGCCAGCACCCTGCAGCTCCTCCTGGCCATGCAGCTGTACCGCCCCCAGCCCTGCGCCAGCGGGGCTGTGCAACCCTGAATAGGCGATGCTGCAGCTTGGGGGTGCATAGCAGGGCCTAGGGAAGGCAGAACACTGACACTCCCATGATGGAAATATCATACACTCTTGCAGGCTTGGCGTGTGGGGGCCTGGAAGTGAGTATGGGAACTAGAGAGACTGGAATAGCCACCCCAGGATATGGACAGGGAACAGGAGGGGTTGGAATGGGTCAGAACCCTGCTGACCCTTCCTTCCCTGCCTGGAAACAGAAGCCCCTTTTGCCCCTCCAACCCCCCAGAAGCTCAATACTTCCCCCATTATTCCCTCCTCCTTTACCTAATTAGGGTATTTCCTCGGACAGGCTCCAGTTAATTTAGTCCCTGCACCCATTGATCTTCTAAATTCCAACCTTGAATTTTCTCCTTGAAACAGACCAGAGTTAGGTATGTTCATGGAGAGACCTGTCAGTGGCGCTGCATTCAGAATGGTCGGACCAATGGTCCATCAAGTGGTGGAATGGACAGAGCATGCAATTGAGCGATCCATCCCATCATCCCCGCTTCCATCCCAGCTTCTGGCAGTCAGAGGGTTAGGAATATCAAGAACCTATTCATGGAGGAGAGGTCCATCAATGGCTGTTAGCCAGGATTGGCAGGGATATTGTCCCTAGCCTGTTTGCCAGAAGCTTGGAAGGAACAAGGGAGGGAATCACTTGATTCCCTGTTCCATTCATTTCCTCTGGGGCACCTGGCATGAGCCACTGTTGAAGACAGGATGCTGAGTTGAATGAGTTGTTGGTCTGACCCAATATGGCCATTTTAATGTTGCATCCCTGACCATCTTGACCAACAGCCATTGATAGATCTATCCTCCCTGAACGTACCTAATTCTTTTTTTAACCTATTATACTTTGCCCCTCGCAGCATCCCCAAGCAAGGAGTTCCACAGGTTGTCTGTGCACAGAGGAGCCTTTTAGCTCTGTGACATCTTCCTCTTCCCATTTCCCTTTCATTCTTTATAACCATTGGCTTCCCTGTTAGCAAGCCCCATCAAAGCTGATGAAGAAGCAAAAATTGGCTGGACCCATTCCCTGGTAAAGGGTGGGTTTAAGGTAAAGGCCGCAGTTGGGGTCCCATGGCAGACAGTGGAGTGAGTTTGTTTTGCTTTGATGTCAAAATGAGAAGGCTCAGTCCTAGCTATGTTTCCCCCTTGAAACTGGCTCAGGTGAAAGCATGTTACATTGATAAATGACTCCCGCAGTACAAAGGAACATTCCCCTTGCAATTAAGGGACAGGAGGGGGAAGCACATGAACTGGGTTCTATTTCCAGCTCTTTCCCAGGTTCATTGGTTAACCTTGGGTAAGTCACTTGACTTTTCTGTGCCTCAGTTTCCCTTTCTGCAAAACAGGAATAAAAGGCTCAGGTGAAAGCATGTTACATTGATAAATGACTCCCGCAGTACAAAGGAACATTCCCCTTGCAATTAAGGGACAGGAGGGGGAAGCACATGAACTGGGTTCTATTTCCAGCTCTTTCCCAGGTTCATTGGTTAACCTTGGGTAAGTCACTTGACTTTTCTGTGCCTCAGTTTCCCTTTCTGCAAAACAGGAATAAAAGTGCTCATTAATTAGTATGTATAAAAATGGCTTGACTACTTCACATGGCATGTGTTGGAGCAGTTCCAAGTACAGCTGGACAGGAAACCCCAAAGAAGCAAAAAAAAATTATTCACAATACAACCAAAAAGAGAAAAGCTTCCCCCAGCAGTGTTCCCTCTAAATGTGTATGTCCATGTGCGGAATGACTTTTGTTATGTGCACCAATACAGAGGTGATGTAGCACATAAAAGTCATTCCATGCATGGAGAGTGTGTAGGGGATAGAGCTGAGGGGGGGTGGTCTCTAAACAGGTGCTCCAGGAGTGGGAGGGGCCTTTGGCGTGGGGCTGGGGAATGAAGGGTTTGGGGTGTGAGAGGGAGCTCCAGGCTGTGGCTTGCCCCTGAGACAAGGGGCTAGAATTTGGGGCTGCAGTCGGCCACCATAGCAGGTGAGATGGAGGACTGCGGATACCCCCGGAAATCGAGCAGTGAGCACTGAAGGAGGACAGTGTCCTGCAGAGAACACCGGGGTCCTGGGAGCGGCACGGGTCCAGAGCAGAGCATGGAGAGAGCACAGAGCAACGAGAGGCGAGACATGGGCCAGGAAAGGGGGCACCCATCTGAGAAGCAGCACGGGTCCAGAGCAGAGCATGAAGAGAACACAGAGCAATGAGAGGCGAGACACGGGCCAGGAAAGGGGGCACCCATCTGAGGATTGAGCTACGTCCCACTATGACCAGCAGGAGGCGCTGTGGGGGTGATGCACAACACCAGTGTTACATGCAGTCTGGCCCCAGTGGCCTAATAGACACAGCATTGGCTGCCCAAGCCAGAGATTGTGGGTTTGAATCCCACCTGGGGTGAAGAGTAGCCCTTGCTGGTTGAATGGAAAGCAGGGTACGTTCACTGCATCAGCTTCCTCCTTGGGCAGACATCAGGGACAAGCAGGGTCCCGAGGCAAAGCATCATAATTCAGAACAGCAGGGCAAGCTCATGCCAGGGCATTTCATTCTATAGCACCGTATATTGCAGTGCTTGGCTGACTCTTACTCCCTTTATGGGCTCCCACCATGACATTTCTGCAGCTATAGGTTTCATTACAGCTGCCTAAACTTTTCCCATTCCTGATAGCTCTAGGGTTCTGGTCTCAATTCTGTATAAACTTGGGGGGGTCCCCATCTTCCAATATCTTGTTTCCATCGCTGTACAGTGTGGGGATTAATGTCCTAGTCGTATTGAGGCTTAATTAGCATGCGCAAATCGGATCCAGAGCCCCACAGCACGCAACAACTTTAAGGGGTATTTACAGCCCTACTATAAAGGTGTAAATGTTTTGATTTTTTTTTTTTAGTAGCGGGGGGCCAAGTCTCTCAGCTGCTGATAGCGTTCGTCAGGATCCTGCCAGTTGGTTATGCATGTTGAGGCTCTTCCCCACAACTTCACTGCCTGGAACCATAAACCAAAACAAAGAGCCTACTGCCTCAAATGGTAAAGTCTGCTCAAGGACCAAGGTGTACATTTCACTGTTGGTTTTATTGGTATCTTGCGGACACTATAAAGCCTCTGTCAGAACCACTGTAACTGCTCAGAGTGCCTCTGCTAATGACTTGGTAGGTACTCTGAATTTAGGATGTGTTTGGCTTAATTCTGAATCTATTATTCAAAAGTTCAGCTCACATCAGACATTAATTAGGAGACTCTTTAGGGCTGCTCTGTGAAATCAGTTCATTTGGAAAAAAAGGGGGGGGGGAGCTGAAAATAAACTGTAGCATATGGGGGTGAGAGGAGATAACTACAGAGAGAAATGAATTGGTGGGGAGAAGAAGAGAAAACACAGGTGTGGGGGATTTGAAAGACAGAGCAG